CAGTCTGCACCAGGGGAGCGCATTCGTCCATCGTCATCGCGATGAAGTCGGCGGCCACCAATTAGCGTATCATGAGAGAGTTTCCGAGTACTGCTTTCATCAGAATCGGCACAACCTCGGCCATGAGCTGAGCGTTCATCGACGGCAGCTTGTCGAGCGCATCCTCTAGGACTCCGTAGCTCCTGCCGAGCTCCGCCTTGAGAACGGCGCCACCGCTGGCGGACGCCACCGCCGCGGGCGCGCCGCCCCCCGCCGAGCCCCGCTGAGGCTGCCGCGGAGCGACGCGCTGAGGGCCCCTGCTGCGCTGAACGCGGCGCCCTCCGCGCTGCTGGGAAGCGCGCGCCGAGCCAGATCGGCCTCTGTTCGAGCCTGCCTTGGGGCGGGACCGCCCTGCCGCGGCCAGCCCCTTTTCGACCAGCCGAAACATCAGCGCCGAAGGTGATGGGAAGTCTCGGCGCGCGCCTCCACAAGCGCCGGTTCAAGACATCTCGGTCCCGAAACGGCTCCGCACAGCTGCATACGCAATCAGAGCAATGGTTCCCGAAGATCGAAAACGCCATAATCTCGGACAAGGGACAGGCCAGGCTGGGGGGCTCGACGACAAGATGATGAAACGTCGAGGCTCTGGAATGGCATCGGGCCTTCACGACTGCATGTGCTGCACGACATTGCACTATACGGTGTGTGCGAAACGACTGTCGGCAAACTATGCACTCGTTAGTGATGATGATGGAGCGCATGATGGAGCGGCAGGAGCGCACCCCGTTCTTGGAGAAGCGTTGATGCGCAAGAAAGGCCTGACGAGTTTGGAAGACCTACACGCGCACCTGCCGCTGGGAGCCCTTTAACTCACACGTCCAACTAGCAGTAGGGGGGGAGGACATCATCAGCGCCGTCGGAAACCACAGGACCAGGAAGAACGCCATAGAGCCCTGGAGGTGGAGGGATCGCTACCGTCGTTTCAGCTGCCCTCAGTAGCCCAGGGTCTAAGGCCAGGAACTGCTCCTTGAGGCCCCCATCCATGAACAGGGCCTCGACGTTCAACCGAAGCGCGGGTTCCGAAGAGGGGCCCGAGAACAGCCAGCTTTCGAGGAGAGACGCCTCGGACTTCTGGACAAGCACAGGGCGTCGAACGCGAAGCGTCTGGCATATAGGTTCGACTGCTCCCGAAGAAGTCCTTCCTCGCTCAGCGTTGGTCCCGCATCGAGTGGCAGTTGTCCGAACAAGGCTCCTAACTCTTGTGGGCGACGGTCGGGAAATCGAACCCACTGCTGGCATTGTCGGCGCCTGCGAACACGTAGCTCCTCCACGCCAGAGGGGGGAACTCCAGCTCGCTCCAGGGCTGCGGCATCCGCGAGCGCTCGATATCTGAGGACGGGGCGACCACGCTCATCGACGACAGGGGCACCTCCTTCATCCACCACCTCCGTCTTGACGCAGGCCCCCCCTCCGAATAGCTCCCTCGCACAGCCGACCAAGACACGATCCAGGCGTAGCTCCTGCGCCTCGGAGAGGATCCGAGTGGTGAGCCCTGACAGGAGGGCCCCTTGGACCACGGCCCCAAAGACAATCCTCGAGAAGTTCCAAACTCTATTCTGGCTCCAGAACCTGCCCATGGTGTAGCACCCCCTCCTGCAAGCCAAGATACGCCGCTCAAGTTCGCCCAAGGCACCCCCATTCACAGACGTCTGGGCCCCCAGAGCCACACTATCAAATTGAACCTGGCCAGGCAACTTCACGGTTCCCCCGAACACAGCTGCGGCATTCTTCTGAGAGCCCTGCCCGACGAACGATGGAGTGACGCTGCTTTTCCCAGGGTTGTGCGCATAGCCGCTGTGCGCCAGCGCATCGTGCAGGTGCCTGTGGGGCACCTCGAGCGCATGTCGCGCCTCCAGCGCCGAGGTGGCGATGCGCGTCTTGCTGGCGTCGCCCGCGTAGACCCGACATGAAAGATCCACTGGCCGTTGAAGAATAGGAACCCATGCAGAGCCGAGAGCCTCGCTAGGCCACGCCGCCCGCGACGAAATCGTCGGCGGCGACGGTCGTACAAGTTCGGCCTCCGTCCGCTCAACATATGTAGTCGGCCGCAGGGGGGCCTCACCGCGCCGCGTCTCCATCCACGCCGAATCCAGCCGCGACTGTATAGGGTGGCGGAACGCACGGGCGAAGAGCAGTGCAGCGGGGCTGTCGCCCATGCAGGCGCCGCAGAGGTTGTGCATAGTCTGCTCTCCGTCGGCGCCGACAATCGTGAACGTGCCGCGCCCGTGCCTCTGGTGGAAGTAGCAATGCGAATCCTCACGAATCGATGCGGCCACAGCGGCACGAAGGGGCGAGAAAGTCGCACAGCCGAAAGCGTTGGCCATGTCCTCCTTTTCCGTGACCGTTGAAACCCCCAACAGCCTCAATCGTCCCAACAATACTTCCTGACAAATCAAGGCGCCTTCCCGACTTCGACCGCGGTGATGGCCGCGCTCACGGTCGGGTACTGGGCCCCCAGGGCCACGACGAAGTTGCGCCTTGTGTCACAAAACTCCCATACGACACATGCCATGGATGCAACGCCTCGCCGAGAACCCCCCCTTCCCATTTCTCCGATCAAGACCTGCGGCGCGCGAATGGTGCCAAACGATCGGTGCGCGCCGAACCCGTGAATGTGATGAAATACCCCCTGCAGCGTCTTCAGACTGAACTCGGTCGAAATCGACTGCACTGCTGCTCCGAGACCCCGCCGGCCCCCCCGCCACGCGGTGACGGGGCACAGACTCAGGGCGAGGCCGCTCAACTTGCGAATCTTCATCAGCGCCACACCACCACCACCACACACACACACACACACACACACACACACACACACACACACACACACACACACACACACACACACACACACACACACACACACACGCACACACGCACGCACGCCACCCTCGCGCCGACGGCGACGACGCGGGCGCCTGCGCGAACCATCGAAGCGCCGCATCGGGTCCAAGACAAGCCCGATGAGCTCCGACGGGATCGAGCGCAGCGGGGCCGCCTTCCGCCGAGGAGCGGCCACGGCCAACTCCACCAAGACAGCGAGGTCGCCACGACCTTTCTCGATACGCTCAAAGTTGTCGCTGCCGAACATCGCAGGGGCAGGCAAGTCCTCCAGCAGCGCCCTCTGGCAGTCAGGGAACGAGACGGGGACGACCGAGAAACCACCCTGATGGCCTGCCTGCTGGAAGTGCGACCTAATCTCGGACATCCGCGGAGCATATGAGGACGCAAGTTTGCAGCGGCGGCGCTTGGGCCTCCGCGCTGCCCAGCGAGCAGATGAGCCAACCTCCAGACGTCAGCGCGCCGACGCCCTCGCCAAGCCTGAGTCAGCTCGCCAACAAGTTGAGCAACTGACTCCTCCTGCCGCGATCGTCGAAGCGCCCGAAGGTTAGTAGATCACCTTGCCAACATCAGAGCAGAAGCCAGGGCGCCGCGTCCGTCCTCCCGAGCTTGCCTTCTTTCACGAAGATGTTGGCTAAGGAGTCGACTATGCTCCAAGGCCTGTGGGTCCGCGAAGGGCCCACGCTGGAAGTGTCGCTCCGCAGTGGAGAAAACTGTGGCGACCCACTTCCCCCACGCACCGTCAGGGGCGGGCTCGTGCAGGAGGAGATCGTGGTAGTCGCCCTGGGCCGAGAACTGCGCTTCGAAGTCTCCCATGAAAGCCTGAACCCCGACGCCTTTTCTGCAGGGCCTGTGACAAGCGCTCGAAGCCCCATCGAACAGGGTCAGGGCCCGCAGCACTCACATTGAACATGTAGTCGATTTTCAGGAGCAGCGGTACATGGCCCTGCAATCATTGCTTGCCGAACAACTTGAGGCGCATATTGGCCCGTCGCAGAGCGGCACAGTGGGACACATCAGACACAAGCGACGAATCGATGGCGATATAATCGATGGTGCTGCTCGTCGAGGCCCCGAAATACGTCGGCCCGATATTGTGGTGGGTGGTGATCGCCACCAGACCGTGCCGCTCCATGAGTTCCAGGAATTGATCTGCAGCGTAGCGCTGTTCTGACCGAGCGAAGATCCCAAGCGAGTCTGAGAGCACCTGACACTCCACCTGTCCAGGACGAATGCGCAGACCATAGCCATCGTTGAGATAGTAGCCCCAGATGACCGTGGAGCGGCGCCGAACCCATGTTATTGTCTTCTCCATCCACTGGCAGATCGCATCCACCGTCGAGCGGCACCGAGCGTGAGAATTGGGAGCGTGGGATTCACGACACAGTCGGCGTCCGCTCGGTCGTGGTGGGAAGAAGGTGATGGGGAAGACCAGGTCGTATCTGCCAGAACGTAGTCGGAAGAGAGCAACCCGTCCTTGCAAGTCGGCAAGGGTTGCGAGCGAGTCGAAAACATCTTTGCGTTTGAATGTTCTCTTACGAAGGAGGAGGGCGACGCCGCAAGACTTATTCACATGCTTGCTCACAGCATAACAAGAACGCAGTGCAAAGTGGTGGCGCAGGTTGGTAATGGTAGTATAACGATCCTCTGGGGCCTGCTGGCCCGTGGACGTGATCGCGATCACGTCTACATGCATAAACTCATCGCTGATGTCGAACAGCCTCGCGTCGTCACAACTCTGCGCATTCCAGTGCACAGAGGTAAGCATGAGATAGAAAAAGACGTGGAGGGGATGTAAAGAGTGGTGAGTGTGACGACGGCGTGTGGGGTGGGCCTGTCGCCAGCGAAGAATATCTTCGGTCAGGCGGGGCTCGCCAGCCCCATGATCTGCAGTTTTCCTGAGCGCGCAGGGGCTAGAGGAGGAGGAGGAGGAGGAGGAGGAGGAGGAGGGAGAGGAGGAACAAAAAGGAGTAAGAGGAGGAGGAGGAGCAGGCCCCGGCCGCAGAGAGTCTGTGCCGTGAGGAGCGCGCAGCCCACGAGGGCTGGAAGCACACTGGCGGGCGCGGCAGCTCCGCGCGGGGCCGGCGCGCGCCCCCGGCTCGCTCCCGTCCCCATAAGCGGGCCGTTGCCCTCTTGTTCTTCAGCGCGTGGAGGGTCATCTGCGTGGCGTCGCTGGTCTGCCTGAACGGGGCCGAGCCGAAACTAAGAGGCCTCCTAGATGGGGTCCGAGCCGATGGGGTCGGAGGATCGCGCCGCATCGCCAATGCATCGGCGATGCATCGGCGATGCATCGGCGATGCATCGCTGACGTCGGCGGTGCGTCGGCGACGCAGGCGCGGGGAAACACGGTCTCCACATCGAGCCGCATCGCCGATGCATCGGCGATGCGGAGCGATCCTCCGATCCCTTTTACTTGGACCCCATCTAGGAGGCCTGGAGAAACACCATCGATCCGCCACCATGCCCCCTGGCACGTAAAGACATGCCAGAATGCCAGGGCCTGTCTGGTAGCGTTCTTCTAACCTTCGAAGGGACCTCCCACCTCCCGGGCCGCACCTCGTTGCGTGCACCGCCCCTTCTTCCCGAGGCTCTGTCGGCGCCCCGACACGTCCCAGGCGCTCTCCAAGGCGCCCAAGATGCCCGAGATGGCTTCCGGGACGGCCAAGGCAGACCACCAAGACTGTCAAGATGGCCTAAGAGCGCTCCAAGACGGCCGAAGATGGCCCAAGGATGGCCCTAGATAGCATGAGGCCCGCCCAAGAAGCCTCCAAGACAGCCAAAGAGTGCTCCTGCCACAGGAGCCTTCAGCAAAGCCCGAAAGAGTATAGCTGATACTTTGGTGTTTGAAAATTTGTCGCATCTTCGCCTTCTCGAGCTTCCGTCGCCAAGCAGCCTCCAAGATGGCCCCACGACGACCAGAGAAGGCATCAAGATAGCCAAAAAGGCCTCCAGGACGGCCTTCGGACAGCCAAAGAAGGACCCTGGACAGCCTAGGACGGACTCAACAGGGCCTCAAGCCGGCCCTAAAGCGCCCCTGAAGGGACCCGAGACTGCAACGGAGGACCTCTAGTAGGCCTCAGACGGCAACACGACAGCCTGAAGATAACTCCCGCTGGCCACGAAGACCTCAAGAGATCCCCACAACAGCCGAAGAGAGCTCCCAAGAGCCCTTGAGGGCCCCTAGAAGCCCCCAGGTCTGCCGCACAGGAGCGCTTAGGGGCCTCGAAAATCCCGAAGAGGGTCCACAGACAGTCCATGAGGATTCCCTGGGGCGTGCAGGATAAAGGTGTCACATGTGACGGCTTCCTATCTCAATCTCCTCATCACCACCATCCTCCTCCTCGTCCTCCTCCTCATCCTCCTTACCATCATCATTAGCATCGTCATCCTCATCACCACCATCATCATGTTCATTATCGCCCTCATGGCAATCCTCGCAAGCCGCAGTATCGCTCTGATACTCACCATCACCATCAGTGATACTATTACAAGCATCACGCATGGGCAGCCCGCATAAGAATCGAAAACGCTCCTGAACAAAATAAATGCGACATGATGTGACGTGGGACGGCTGTATCCTACCGTTCCGCAACACTTTCAAAAACCTACGGCCATCTTTGTGCTGTCTTCAAGGGCTTGTACCGTGTCGAAGCCCTCTTGGACTGACGACGCTGCCCCGAAACGGCCAAAAAAATCTCAACGACGGCCTTCAAGCCGCCCGAACAGGCTCTACCGTAATCCGAGATCCTTCCTTCGAAGAAAGCCCGCGAGCCCTCCAGCAAGCCTCCCCCCCCCGACAGAAGCCCCCAAGAGGCGCCGAGACAATCAGACGAATCACAAAGACGCCCAAGAGGACGCCCAGCAGGAACCCAGAACACCCCAACAGGCATCCAAGAGTCCTCTTACCGACAGCCTAGGCATGCTGGGGGGATGGGCCGAAGGTCACTGGATACAAACAATCATTCATATGTTCCCCGCCGCCGTCATCCTTTGTGAATGACATTTGCAACCGTGCTGCGCCTGTGAGTCTGAAAACCGAATATGGCTTGTCGCGTGCGCAAGACGGCTGCAAAGGGCCCCTTTCGAGCCACGAAAACACCATTGGGTTGGCGAACGATGCCTGTGAAGATGCCGCATTCTCCCTCCACTTACGGTGATGTAGTTTTTGATATACATCCCACGGGGAGCATGAGCAGACCCTGCATGCAACTGCGTCCCCTCATGGCTCCACGCGGAAGATGTTCTGCGCTCCCGTCAGAAATGAAGAGGCAGAGGCGGTGAATGACCACGATGATTGCAGAATGATGCACGTGAAAATGCCAATCATGATGAAGATGCTTGACAGCGATGCCCCAGCATTATGATACCCCCAATTCCTAAGGATGGGTCTCTTGTTATCACTCCGACCGCGCCGAGTCCTCACAAACAGGTTCCTCTCCTTCCCCTCTCCTCACGCAGACTCACACGCTCGACGATGATGACGATGACGATAACGATGACGACGATGATGGCAATGCCGATGCCGATGACGATGGCGATGACGATGACGATGCTGACGATGATGATGATGATGCTGGTGATAATGAATAAGATGATGGTGTTGGTGATGATGACCATGATGATGCTGACAACAATGACGGCGATGATGATGATACTCTGAATTACGCAGTCTTACCATCACCCTCAGGGTAACTGCTAAGGATATGATATGATGCTGGTGACGATGATGATGCCGATGGTGATGATAATGGTGGTGATGATGATACTGCTGCTGATGGTGATGATGCTGATGCTGATGGCGATGATGACGCTGACACTGCTGACGATGATGACGATGATTATGACAATGATGATGATGCTGGTGACAAAGCCGATGACGGCGATCTGCGGCTGATGAGGATGATGCGGATGAGGATGCGGATGATAATGATGTTAATGATGCTGGTGGCGATGATGATAATGAGGATGGGGATGATGATGCTGCTGATGATCATGCCGATGATGATGCTGATGATGATGCTGATGATGCACGCCACTGGCATTGCCAAACGCGCCGCCGAGTAAGCAAGCCCCCCACAGTGTTATCCTGCGAATGTGGCCGAAATTCTGGCTTCGGAATTTCGGCAAGAACTACTTCCCCTCAATCCTCTTGCCCACGACACCCTCATCACATCTCCCTCTCCGGCCACAGCACCGCAGTGCTTACGGGAACAAGACACTGTCATCCGAAACGTCGTCGAAGTATGCCTTCTCCCGCCTCCCCGAGTCCTGCTGGCTCACCGTTGGAAGCTGCATGAGCTGGAGTATCGCATTCATGTAGCGCCTGGATGCCACCATGCTCGGATGGGTTCCATCCTTCATCCACAAAGACGGAACGAACCCGCGCTCTTCGATAAGCTCGTTCATGATCTTGTAATAGTCCACCACCTCGTACAAGCCGTAGAGCTTGCCATTTTGCATCTCCTTATCCACTTCATGCTTCATCCAATCCATCGCCTTAACAGACACCACCGCGACGTCCGGATAGCTTACAGTCGTGGATTTGTGAAACTCATCCTTGAGAATTACGTTAAGAAACACTGAATGGTGAACACGAGGCGCAGTTCTGAAGACGATGCGGCTTTGAGGGAACGTCTCGGACACACGAGCCATAAGATGTTTCAAATCACGGCGACCCCACTGGTGCAGACGCTCTTTCGTCACGTTCTTGACGCCCCACGAAGCCCAGGTGAAAAGATCCCAGAGGGAGCTTTCTACCACAATCATGTCTGGGAACTCCTCTCCCTTCATGTTCATGATGCCCATGATCCCTTTGCGCAGTTCCTGGCTACTGGACACGTCGCTATGTTCGACAATGGGATAGGTGTGGTTCCAGAAAGGCGGATGGAAATCACCATGAATGCCCACTCCAGGGTGAGCGGCATAGCCCACGGCGAGATCCCGTTCCTCGTTTACGCAACTCAATCTGTAAAATTTCTTACCGTCGGTCCCACAGAAATCCGCCACTGCGTACCTGTCCACAGAAGATCCCAGAAAGAAGACCGAGTGGGCTGAACGACGCTGCATCGCGAGCCCGCTCGCCACGGCAGCGCAGGCCACCAAGCAGCCCGCGCGGATCATCGTGGCAAGATGCATGGGTTGACGCTATGCGTAAGAGATGGTGGCAGGAACGCTGTATGTATTGGGAATTCGGGTACTTGCGAAAATATTTGGAACGAAAAACTACTTGATCCAAACTTGAACCCAAATGGCTACGGAGATGATGATGCTGATGATGATGATGATGACGACGGAGCAACATTTGAGAATGTCCCGGGGGAGGCGCTGGTCTGAACACCCTCTGGGTGGCCGCCAGGGGGTATGTCACTCCTCCGCTCGACCCCCAGATTGCGGGGATGTCTCGAGCAGTGTGCCTGTTCACCGACCCAACATCCTCCGCGCTCGGAGCAGCCTTCGAGGACGCTTCACGCGAGGCGCCTGCCTTCGCACCCCCAGGGGGGGCAGATTGCAAGACTGCCTCTGGCGGTGTGTGCCTGCTTTGGTGGCCAGACTGGTTTGCGTCCAGAGCGGACTCGGAAGATGCCTCGGGCGAGGCGCTAGCCTCAACACACCTAGGAGTCGGGGGCTGCTCGAGGTGCCCCTGGCCCAAGGTGCCCCCAGCTGTGTCGCTTCATGTTCGAGCCCCTGGGGCCCCCATAGGCCTCGTGAGGGCTGCTCTGGAGGCTATGGGGACCTCCTCGGGGATCCTGGGGGGCACCTTGGGCCAGGGGCACTTCTGGCAACACCCGAAACAAGGAGCCGCCAGGGGGGGGGGGGCACCTCACTCCTCCGTTCGTGATCAGATCGCGGAGATGTTTCGAGCGGTTTGCCAGCTTACCAGCCCAACATCCTCAGCTGTCGGAGCAGACGTTGAGGATGTCTCTGGCTAGGCGCTTGTTCTCTCAAACCAGGGTGGCCAAGGCTGCATCACGTCTCTGGCGGTTTGCCTGTTTTGGTGGCCAGCCTCGGCTGCGCTGTGTGTATTTATAGATTGTGAATCCATCTGTTTGACGTATGCGTCTTTAGATTCGGGCCTCTCCTGGGGCACGGGTCCTTTGTGTGATGCGCGTGTTCCTATAGTTTGCCCCTCTCCCGAAACAACAATCCTGCGTCTTACGCGTGTTCAGATAGATTGGGCCTCCCCTGGGTCACGAAACCTCCACAGGAAACCCGAGGAGGCTCCAGGAGGCCACAGGAGGCCCCAGGAAGTCACAGAAGGCACCAGGAGGCCCCAGGAGGCCCCAAGAGTTTCCAGAAGCCCCAGGACGCCGCAGGAGGCCTCAGGAGGCCCCAGGAGGCCTCAGGAGGCCCCAGGAGGCCCCAGGAGGCCCCACGAGGCTCCAGGAAGCCCCAGGAGACCCCAACAAGCCACATGTACGATGTTCCTATAGGTTTGGCTTCTCGTGGGGCACGAAAACGTATAGATTGCCCGTCTGCTGTGGCCTCAATCCTTAATGTTTCCGGCGTTGTTCTAGATATTGGGCCTCTGATGGTGACTGAATCTGGTATGTTTTAAGCATGTTCCTATAGTGTGTCACTTTCCTGTGGTTCCAATCCGCTGTGTTTTACATCTGTTCCTACAGATCGGGCATCTCCTGGGGGACGAATCCTCCCCAACAGGCCCAAAGAGGCCCCAGGATGCCCCAGGAGGCCCCAGGAGGCCCAAAAGCCCCAGGAAGCCCCAGGAGGCCCCAGGAGGCCCCAGGATTTCCAGGAGGCCCCAGACAGGCCTCAGGATATTACAGGAATCCAAAGGATGCCCCAGGAGGCCCCAGAAGGCCCCAGGAGGCCAGCTCCACTGCTATGTGTTTTACATATGTTCCTATAGACTGGGGCCCAGTCTATAGGATCATATGTGCCCAATGGGAGGCCCAGTCACTGGGCCTCTCCTTGGGCACGAATCCTAGTGTGTGTGTGTGTGTTTACATATGCTCCTATAGAATGCCCCCATTATGTAGCTCATGTCCACATTTTGGCTCAAGCGTTCGCATGCCGCGCCGCCTCGGCCTCCCGCCTCGGGATGGCTGGCCTGCGCGCGGCTAGAGGGGCTGGCACGGCCGCCGACGACCTCGCGCTGCTGGTGCGCGCGGCGGTCCGCGGCGCTGTGGACGGCGGCGCGCCGCGCCGCACGGTCGCCGCAGTGGCGCGCTCTGCAGTCTCGGCCGCCGCGTTCGCGGCGCGGCCGACGACGCAAGCGCACGCTGCAGACGGCCGACGTGACGATCATGCTGCTGATGCCGTTGGCGATGCCGCTCGCCCAGCTGGTGCCTCCGCGGAGGCGAAGCGGGCGCGGCGTCGGCGCCGCCGCGCGGCGCGCGCGGCTCGCAAGCAGCAGGTAAACACCGACGGCGACGTGACGACGGCTGGTGCTGGCAGTACTGGTGCGGGCCTGGGGCTCGCCCTGCTGCCCACGGCGATGGCGGTCGACGGCGCCGACGACGAAGACCTCGCCTCGTTGGTCGACGACTCCTGGGCTGACAGCCTGCCTGTCGGCGGGCGGCGGCGGCCTGGGCGGGGGCGCGAGGGCAGGTGGGTCGCGGAGGCGGCGGCTGCTGGCGCGGGCGGCACGGGCTCTGGCTTGGCCGCCGCGGCGGCCGCTCCCGCGGGCGCGGCGCTGACCCTTGCGAGGGCCCCGGGCGGGGCGGCGGCGGCGGAAGCGGCGGATCTCGCTCGCGGAGCGGGAGGTGCTGCTGGAGCTGCTGCGTGCGGCCTCGAGCGCGCCGGCCTGGCTGGCGGTGCCGAGCCACGGCGGCGTGGGCCGAGGCGCGCACGGGCGAAGGCGCAGGCGGAGGCGGCGAGGGCGGCGGCGGAGCTGGGCACGGCGCTCGCGGGAGCGGCGCCTGCTGGCGGCGGAGCTGCTGCTTCGGAAGGCCCTGGGGAGGTCTTCGAGCGTGCCGACTGCCTCCTTCGGCAGGCGCCTGGCTACGGGCCTCAGCTCAGCGTGCAGCTTCGGCAGATGCTGGAGTCCGTGAGCTGGAGGCCCGCCAGCGCCGTGTGAGCTGGGGAGTGCCTACGGTGGTCTGGGCCTTTTCAGGCTCGGCACGGGGTGGATGGTGGCTCGCGTGGCCGCCTCACCTGACGGCGCACACCCAGGCAGCGTGGCGAGCGCGCTGCAACTTGGAGGCCGCTGTCTGCGGAGCCTCCTGGCCGCATTTTGCGGCTCTCGCCTTCTTGGCGGCGGGATCGGCTCGTGCTGCACGGGCTGCCTGGTGTGTACAGTAGCTCATGTCCTAGGTGTTTCGAGTATGTTCTTATAGATTGGGCTCCTCCTGGGGCGGTGGTCCGTTGCATTTTATGTCTGTTCCTATACTGTTCCTATAGAGTGCCCCTCTCCAATCCCGAATGTTTCCGCACGCTCTTACATATTGGGCCTCTCCTGTTGCACGAACCCTCGGTGTCCTACTTATGTTCCTATACATTGCCCCTCTCCGGTGGTTCCTATCCTGTGTTGTCTGTGTGCTCCTATAGATTGGGCCTCTCCTCTCCGTGGCGCGGCTGGCTGTATCACGGTCCAGCCAATCCGTGGAATCTTCTGGACCAGCCCACAAGGCGCAAGGGTTGCGCACGGCGGTTGCATGAGCAACCCAATTGCCAGTTCGACTCAGTCACGCTGAGCCGTAATCAAGCCTCTGGCACGCAAGTACATCCATCCCAAGCTTAGACATGCTCAGACCCATGCACGTTGAATTACCCGTACCACTAAGACTCATTCACACTTCAACTCATTCACAAGTATATATACTCCCGTCTTGTCAATACTCATCCCCGTTTGTATTCGAAAACCCTGCGCCTAGGCACTCACGGCGGAAAGGTCCATGCATATAATGTACAGATGGGGAGCTCCACGCAGTGAGTGGTTATATAATCGGAGCGTTTTCTTGTGGTGCAATGAAATGGGATGCAACCCATGTTGTGCAATGTGCGGGGTGCCATCGATGTGGTGCGATAGATGTTGTGCAATAGATGTGGTGCAACATGTCATATGTATACATACACACACATAGACTCCCCAAACAGAGCTTGCACTCAAAGGTTCCCTCTCGTGTTCTCAAGCACTGGGCCGTGACTTCGGTCTGGCGGCTGCGGCCGCCGTCGCCGCCCCGTCGCCGCTTCGTCGCCGCCCGTCGTCTGGGCCGTGTCTTCGGTCTGCAACCGTGTGGCCGCCGCCGCCGCCCCGCCGCCGCCACGTCACCGCCCGCCGTCTGGGCCGCGTGATCCCTCTCGCGGTTATGTGGCCGTCGTCGCCGCCCCGTCGCCGCCTCGTCGCCGCAGCAAGTACGGCACTAACCCCGATGGCACCACATAGATTGCACAACCTACGTTGCACAACATAGACTGCACACCATCTATTACCTATATCTGAAACAAGATTGACAGATTCTCGCCCCGGAGTCATCGTTCGCTTTTTGTGCCTGGATGCGCGCGTGAATCTGCCCATCGTCCACCCGAAGTACGAATTCAGACCACCTCGGGCAGGCGCGTATCGCCCCCCTCATCCTGCGCAGAGAAATATACGCGCACACTCGTTTCTCAAAAACCATCCGTGTCCAAATACCCACTGCGAAAAGGTGACAAATCAACGCACGCGCGTCGTCGCGCGCGCGTGCAGGAATCTTACAAAAACTGTAGGCTCCCATGGATTTCAAGACCGGGTGCCCCGAACATATAAAACACAAGAAGTTTCGAAACAAGATCTTGCAACAACTCTGCGTTCGGGTCCTTAAGTGTTTCACACCCAAAACAGTGTTTTCCACATGTTCATCGGATTCGACCTAACGGGCCTTCCTCACGTGCATGTCAGAATCATTTGAACGCCCTTACGCGCACGTTGTCCCAAGAACCCCATGCGTAAGATGGGACGAAGCGCGCGCGCGCGGGAGTCGTCGGGAGCGCATGCCCAAAACTCCCCAACACCTCAGATGTCGCACGGATTTGAATACAACGGCAGCCCGGAAAAAAACATCAGTTTTAAAAGAGGGTCAGCGCTCGCGCGCTCTTGCAACTTCCTGAAAAACAACATGTTTCAGAATTGTGATATTACTCGAAGAAACGGACATCTCGCGACGCATGTCGAAATCACT